GAAAGAAGTTCCTGGCTCCTGGCTTTGGAACGGCTCAGCACTGGCTGTTGCAGTCACTTGGGAAGTGAATCATCGGATGGAAGATCTTCCTCTCTGCCTCTCCTCCTCTCTGTATATCTGCCTTTCCAATAAAATAAATAAATCTTAAAAAAAAAAAAAAAAGAGCAAATGTCTGGCCTGCCACAGTAGCCTAGTGGCTAAAGTCCTTACCTTGAGTGTACCGGGCACCCATATGGGCACCAGTTCTAACCCTGGCAACCCTATTTCCCATCCAGCTCCCTGCTTGTGGCCTGGAAAAGCAGTCAAGGACAGCCCAAAGCCTTGAGACCCAGCACCCATGTGAGTGACCCACAAGAGGCTGCCAAGTTCCTGGCTTCAGATTGGCTCAGTTCCAGCTGTTGCAGCCACTTGGGGAGTAAACCATCATTGGACAGAATATCTTCTTCTCTCTCTTCCTCTCTGTATATCTGACTTTGCAATAAAAATAAATAAATCTTTTTTAAAAAAAAAAAGCAAATATGCTAGTGCTTTGCTAAGTGATAAAATTGAATCAATTCATTCAATATCCAGAATCTGCCAGACGTTCTATTGAAAGAAAAAGAGCAAACACAATATGCAATGCAGAGGAAGGTAAACCCCCCAAACCAATAACATAAAAAATTGCTTCTGCAGAGTAACAGAAAATGTAAACTTAAAAACACTCTAGAAAATTAGGTTTCCACACTCTAAGCTAACAGAACAAGAGCTGTAACACCAATGTGTGGCTAAGTGAAAAACTGGGTATTCATATAATTGTTCATGGATTTGTAAAGCTTGCCTTTGCAGAAATAAATCTGATGAAAATTGTAATTAAAGTGTCTATACACTCTTTAACACAGCAACTTAGCTTTAGTAATACTTTAAGAATCTAGCCTGTGGAAATGCAGGCACTGACATATAAAGCAGGGATGAACAAATGATGGTTATATACAAACAAATCCATTAAGTGCCAAGTGCTAGCTACAAGAGTTAATTATGCACAGATATGTGAAATGATTTGGGGGAAGGGTACACAGCTATAAAGCAAGCATAAATAGATGGCAGAATGGAATTTAGGACAGAGCGGGAAAATAACAGCTGGATGTTCTGGAAATACTTCCATATTCAGTGAAGATAAATATAAAATTTATTGCTAAAAAAGTAGAAGAAAAGATTCTTCACAAAGTGCAATGGAAAATAAGAAAAATGAAATCAAATCCCATTCCCAAACCAAGCTGTATACAATTTCTTCACCCACAAATGCATAAGCCCAAAGCCAATGGACAGGAAGCCCATATTCATTTTGTAACACAAGAGCCATTTTTTATTACAGTATACCTATAAAAAGTAACAAATTAGTTATCTTAAACTTAATGATATCTACGTTTTAATTATTTTAAACATATTGACAATTAATTTCCATTTGCTTTTTCAATCAGAAAAATGTTCCCATGATTATCAAAATATAGTAGTTAAAAACTGAATTCTGATATATAATCGTTATTGACCAACAGCCTGCCAGTCATGAGAAACAGAACTAAAGTCATAATATTGTTGAAGATCAAATGCTTAATTCAAGTATCGTGAAGACCTGAGGGCCAGTTTAATGAATACCTTTCATGCTAAGAAAAACAGCCACCATGGCTTCTTCAAACAATCACATAAATCCATAACAGAGCTATTTATTTTTTTCAAGGCTAATATAAGTTAAATCACTTAAACGTTGTTATTTTAACCCAAAAATAAGACAGCAAGTGGGAGTAAGATTTCTTCAACATGAAGACATTACAAAGACAAGTGTGCTGATCAGTAAAGATAACGATTTCTAAGTCCTTGTAGCTTTCTCATCTGTTTTCTCTCTCTCTCTCTCTCTCTCTCTGAAATTTCTCACTCTCTGTCCCTCTTTCTTTCTCATTCTGAAATTTCCAACTTCAAGTCTCAGGAGTGGAACACAATTTGACTGATATAAGCTGCTCTGGTCTGCAATAGTTCAGACTATTAAAAATGTATATGATCTACTTGAAACTAACAGACACATCTACAAACTAATCCGGTTTCTATTAACTGGCAGATGGAATAAATCCTGGCTGTGATTATAGTTCACTGGTTCACTTTTGAGCAATTGTTGAACATCTCTACATTAAGTCATTTTTATAAAAGGAAACAAATATTTGGAAAGTACAGAAAGATGAGGAGGAACGCATGAGAGTCGAAGGCACATCCATTTGCTTTATCACGCCACAAAACGTTCATCAGACCCACAATAACAGAATCCAGAGATGGGAAGTCAATCGAGGTCCTCATGTGGCTGGCAAGAACCCAAAAACTTGAGCGATCACCGTTGCCTCCAAGGGTCAGCCATAGCAGGATCGTGGAGTTAGCAGTTGGAGCAAGGAATCCGACATAGGCACTTTGAGGTGTGACATAGGGTCTTAACTGCTACTCTGCATACTCTCTCCCTAAAGCCTATTATTTAAGCTACATCTTTTGATTCCTGAAACTTTCTTGCTCAAACATGTAATAATATATACTTCTTCACTTATAATATTTCTCAAATACAAACAGATCCATTATTGTATATTAGACTAACCAAAAGATATTTGAAGACGTTTAAAAAAGGTTCTTGGACAATAGAATTAACAGAAAAGTTTATTCTGTCAGAAGATCTTTGAAATCCATGCATAGGTTTCTTTTTAATAATACATATATTCCATGAACTTTTAAAAACCCTTAATATGTATATCCATTGAATTTACTTCTGACGTGACCTTTAAACATCACTGTAGAAGCAAGAGACATGCTTTAGAGGATTAACAATCTCTTCTCTCCTTTCCTTTCTTTTCCTTCCATTCCTTTCCCTTCCATTTCCATTCCAATCCATCCCATTCCATTTTACTTGAAACACAGAGACATAAAAGCAGAGACAAATGGACAGGCATAGCTCTTTCTTCTACTGGTTGCCTCCCTCTATATATTTACAATAGCTGTGATTGAACCAGGCTGAATTCAAGAACCAGTAATTTCATATGGATCTCCCACATAGGTTTCAGTGAGCCAAGTATTTGAGCCCCTTTTAGAGTGTACCTCATTCCAAGTCACACATTAGCAGAAAGTTGAAATCAAACCAAGAAATTAAATCCAACCACTCAAATACGGTATATTGGCATCCCAAACAGTGGGTTAAACACAGCATCAAATGAATGTGAATATCATCAGGAAAACTAATACAACTTCACCGAACATATTTACTACTGGCTAACTAGCTTCAAGATATTTTGAGACACTCTAAATTAGCCTCCCCTCAATGATTTGGGACAAATGTCTTTAAAATAAGAATCTCTTGTGCCACTGGTATTTCATATGGCCGGAGGATCAAGTCCTGGTTGCTTTACTTTCAATCCAGCTCCTTGTTAATGTGCTTCGGAAAGCAGTGGAAGACAGACATAGTGTTTGGCCCATTGCACCCATGTAGATGATCTGGAAGAAGCTCCTGATTCCAAATTTTAACCTGACCAAAATCATACTATTGTGGCCATTTAGGGAGTGAACCAGCAGATGGAAGAGCAACATCTAAATGAATAAACATGCAAACACACTTGGCTTTTAGTAGTCTAGCTTTTCTCACATGTAAAATAGGAATAATAATGTCCACCTTCAAAAACTCATATGTGACAAGTTTTGCATGAACCTCCTATCATATATTGAGTACAATCAACAGTAAGACACAACATTCATAAGGAAAAGAGAACCACAGCCCTTGCCTCTCTGGAGTCACTGCCTCCTTGCGTGTTATGGTTGCTTTCTTCAGGGCCCATCAGAGCTATGCTGTTTTCCTCTGCTTGGTGAACCCCATGTGCAGAATGAGAGACACTGAAGGAGTGACAGGAGAGATGCTAACTCCAGTCCACATGGTTTCCATGTAACTTCCATGCTTCCTGTATTTTGGCAAACTACAAATTTTTCATTCTTCAACGGAACTAAGTTGATACTTTCTTCACCTCATAATCTGTAATCACAAGGAAAATGATGATGAAAGCTCCCAGGTCACTCTCTTTTTGGATTAGCAATTCTGTTTTATTTCTAATATTCATTCTGGACCTCTGGAACTCCATGGCTTAACAGTTTCCTCCCCTGTCTGAGACTATCCAAGTGCTACTTCCGTGACAGTCCTTCCACTGGCATCCTTGCAGCTGCCCCAGGCCTGCAGACTCCAGAGGAGATGGCAGAAGGCCACAGGTGTCTGTGCTTCAGCTGCCACAATGACCCTCCTCTGACCATGTATACTCACTGTACACACATCTCACCATCTGCTCATGTCTAGGTGTCAGAAGGCAATTCTCTCTGCTGCCAGATCTACTATTTATTCATTTTTGATTTTGACAGAAACATTTAAATGTTTTCAACCAAGTTTTCCCCAATCTTAAAGAATAAAACACTAACTACCTAAGGGATAGTTTGAGGATAGATGTTTATGAAGGAGTTTAGATCATAACAGCTGATAGTGCAGATGTCACAAATTACTGAAGTCATCAAGGAAAACTTTCCACCTAATTTTCTTCAGACTTCTTCCTGCTTCCAATGAACATGTTCACAACATATTAAGGAGAATGAAAAGTCTGAGTTAACCATGTTAGTCTGTTTTTTTTCTTTTCTCTCTGCCCAAAGGATCATGGAAAATTTCATCACCAAATCACTGGGGCTGCATCTCTGGTACCGCAACACAAAACACAAGAGTTCTGTTCAGTCGGCTGCCCTCCTTACACTCTGCCAAAGTTCATGTGAAATGAAAGAGGTCGATTGATTGACTGGGTAGCCTCTATCTTTCCTAGCATACACACCAGAAATTTCCATCAATTTCTGAAAGGAAGAATTGTATGTTGCTACTTTTTGTGTGTCTTTAAATAACTGGAATTAACACATGTACACACACAAACACAGACACAAGTGCATGCAGAAAAATATGTAAGTATGGCATGACTGACCTTCACAGCATTCTTGCTACACTCGCAAATCCATCTTCAGGATGTCACTGCAGCTCAGGTAACCCTGTGGGTATTCTGCTTTGACAAAGACATCTGCCTGGACTTGCTGGATGGCATCACCAGCATCACAAAGCACACGTCCCAGGGACACCTGCTTTAGCTGTGTGAGTTGAGCAGAGGTGAACACACCAGGATTTTCATACCAGAACCTGGTAGTAAACAACAAAAGCCAGTGTCCACCATCTGTGTCCTCAGAGGTCAGGTACACACTGAGCAGAGTGATTAGAAGGGACAATGAGTTCACAACAGAAGAAGTACATTGAAAATACTATGCTTGATTTCCAATTGAGGATTGGATTCCTTGAATTCCTTGAATTCCTTTCAATATTTATAATGTCCCAAAACTCTATGCTTCAAAACTATCACTGCCTGTTACTTCCACAAAATAACGCAAAGTTTTGTGAAGTTGTATAAAAACAAGCACACTTAAAATTTTAAGTTCCAGAAACTGTTCAACAGATTATCTTAGCATTATAATTCTAACATATTTGTCTAGGAGAAAATATTACTTATGATTGTTAACATATACTCAGTTCTATCTACTGACCACTTAAAAGAATCACTCAGATTTAAATTAAAAAATGACCTTTAACATGGACTATTAAAATGAATCACAATTTTCATTCACTTGATAAATATTCAAATGCTGCATGCCAGACTCCTGCTTCCTGCTGGGGAAATAATAGAAAATTAAACAGTATTAAACAGAATTCAGTATGTGTCCATTTTTAGAGGTAAGGCCTTCAAAGAGGTAATAAGCATAAGAACATTGTGTTGGAACCTAATTCAACATAACTGATGGCCTTGGGAGGATAGGGATTGTGGGTGCAGGCAAAAGGAAGACCACGTAAAGACACAGGCGGAGGTGTGCAGATTTAGCTGGGAAGAGAAGCCCTCGCAGGAACCAACCTTGTTGATTTCTTGATTCTGGAGTTCTGAGACCCAGACTGGTGAGAGGAACACATCTCAATAGGTAAGGCAACCAGTGTGTAAAAAATAATACACACAAATTAATATACATGGAGAAGATAATACCCACCAACATCAAACCTGGAGGCTCCTTCAATTGGTTCAACCCTTGATTTCATATGTTCTTCAACTATTGTCAATTGAATACCTTAATCTCATAATATCAGGTAAGAAATCCTGTATTAAAATAATCTATAACAATTCATTTCATGAAATATAACATTAATGCTTGACAATTGCCAAAAAAGAGCAAATATTTAGCTATGTTATTTATAACATAGGCATGGATGACACTTAGAAGAAAAAATTGACTGAAGTATTTGTTTTGGTGGAATTTGAATTAAAAACTAAATTTTAGGCTGTGTTCCAAGTCTTGCATAAATCATCTTTGTGAAAACACAAGGTTGAAGTAGCCAGAAGTTTCATAAAAATCCTGGGTCTTAACACCACCTAAGCTTTATCCATAATTCAAAAGGTCCAACATGCAGGCACACACTTGTTCCTGAAGAGCATGTGGCAGCTGTTGAGGTCTGGATTTTCCAGCTTCTCATCCGGGTTAAACTTGCAGCAGTGAAGAGACTATATGACTCATACTTTCCAGCAGCTGTCCTCCATAATTTCATAATTTGCTTACTTTAAACATGTTGCGTGTAAGCCAACACATTTTATGTGATGTCTCAATTCTGTTTCCTCTAGTCAAAGGCCTCATTGGGTACTTTTGGAAGAAGGTCTTCTCAGCCCAGTTATTCTTCTCTGTGAGTGCTGGCAGGAGTCTTGGGGTGCCTTCAGCTCCTCTCAACATCAGTCAGGGCTGCCCTAGACCTATGAAATCCCATTGTTTCACACACTTTATATACAAGGACACTATCCTGGGAGTTCAGCAGGTCTAAACAAAGATGCTCATATTAGAACACAGGTTTGTGAGATTGATATGCACTTCTTTAGCCACTGCCTTCTAACACCTTCCAAGACTATTTCTTTTTTTCTTAATAGAGATTGACAAGAAAAAAAAAAAAAGAATGCTGTTACTGTAGTCAATAAGTTAAAATCATAGCATTAAAGGCCAGTATTTTGAGCAAAGCAATATCTTTATTAACACTGAGAAGTAAAACAGATACTCCCTCACCTATCTCCATCTCTTAGCTGTTGAAACTGGATGACCAACAGGCACATGAGTGTTGGTCCCTCTCTTGTGCCAGGGATCACGTCTTCCACCATCACGGCTGGCCACAGGTCAATGTCACCTGGACTGCTATATAACCTGGAACAGAGATAGAAAGTACAGGCTAGAGACTGGACATGACATGAGGTAGACTTCAACTTGTGACTTTGCAGCATTCTTTTATTTTATCCATGCTAAACAGAAAAACAAATATTATTCCTATTTCACAGTTGGAGTAATAAAATGAAGGAAGCGTTCATGTAAAACCAGAAACAGAATTATGTCCTGTCCAAGATCATTTAAATGCCCCAATAAACATAAGGAGAATAATTACATTTATATATAGGAGAGTATATGTTTATGTTAATAAAAAAACTATCCAATTCACTTGTTCAGGAGCATGTAAAAAACACACAAACTAAGCATCAACTTCTGTATTCTTTGTTCTTTTCATCTTTATATTTGTGCCATAGTTATTTTCTTTTCTCTTCAATTTCTAATTTCTATTTGTTTAAAAGACAGAACTAGATAGAGCAAAGAGACAGTATTTTCATCCCACTGTCCCACTCCCCAGATGATTGCAACAGTTGTGGCTGCACAGGATGAAGCCACAAGAGAAGAGTGTCTTCTGGGCAACCCATGTGACTGCAGTGGTCCAACTACTCTATTCATCTTTAGCTATTTTTCCCAAGCCATTAACAGCAAGCAAAATCAAAAGTGCAGCAACCAGGACAAGAACCAGCAACCAACTGGTACGCTGGAGTCACAAGCAGCAGCTTTACCTGATATGCCACAACTCCACACACTCCTTTCTAAATTTTGATGATTACACAGGCTTTTCTGTCTCCACATACTTTAAGTTGGACATTTGTTTAATTGCAAATTGAGTGTTGCATGGTTGTTTCCTTAGCCTCAATTAGATTTTTTAGGTGGGTGGGGCAGGTGTTCTGAAAGCTTTCTTCCTTTGAAGTATTTCTTAATGTTTATTTGTTATTATTTATATTTTAGAGGCATAGCCACAAGGATAGAGGTCCTGCTCAATAGCTGGCTTGTCAACGGGTAGAGTACACTTACAGAAAATGTTTCACTACTCAATAGTGATTCTATAGCTCTTACATAGATATATAGATGGATAGATAAATAGATAGACAGATTTATGAGACTTTCTGTATGGTTCTTTCCAATTCTGTGATGCTCTCCTGTATCGTATTATATTCCATTCTACTCTAAGTAATGCTATGCTACTTCCAGTTTAGTTGTTAACTTAGTGTTATACTGTCTTTAGCACTAAACACTTCATAAAAAGTATTCCTAACTGGTGCATCAGATCACTCTAGGGGATCCTCTTGGCCATCTGCTCAGTCAAGCTAATTTAAAAATCAGCTGCTGATGCCTCAAATAGGCAATATTAAGATCTCAGAATCACTGCGGATATACCAGTTTGGTAAGTACCAACATATCCACTTTTTTGACTCTTTCCACTAGTGAGAGTGAAAGTTATCTCAACTTTTGCAGCTATTCTCTAATTACCGGCTTCGAATTTATACTATTTTTTTCATAATACATTGTATAACTTTCATCACACTTATTTGTGTTCTCTCATTAACATTGCAATTAAGTTTTCTAAATATATATTTCAAATTCTTACAAATAAAGTTGGAAGAAGTGTTGTATTTTTCAATACAATTTTGAATATGTCACGACAGCTATATTCTCTTATTCATTCTTTTAAATTTAATCCTGAAGACATTAGCCAATGTTTTGTTTTTATCGTTACTATTTTATTACTCCAAGTTCCCTTACCCCATTATCTCCCCCTATGTTATTACCAAGCCTGCCAAGGCTTTGGGCCATTCTCTAGCGCCTTCCCAGGATACAAGCAGGGAGATGGAAGGGAAGTGTAACAGCTGGGCAAACTGGCACTCATATGGAATTCTGGTGCTTACAAATTGAAGAATTAGCCACTGACCAATATTGCCAGTCCAACACCAGACTTTTTTAACGACATATAAAAACAGAGATCACAGTGAGGTTTCACGATACTGTGTGGTTATCATGCAAAAATTTTAAAAACTAATAATAAAATTAAAAACCTACTGGCAAAGATGTGGAGAAGAAAGCACCTCAATACACTGTGGATGCTGAGGATTATAAATTTATACAGCCAATATGGAAGGCAGTATGGTGATTCCTCAGAAATCTGTAAAATTGACCCGTGGTGTGTGCCAGCCATCACACTTAGAGAAATATATCCAAAGGAAATGCAAGCATGATAAGAAGTATTTGCATTCCCATATTTACAACAGCCCAGCCCACAAAAGTAAGATATGGAATCAGCCAATCAACTGTCGATTGGATAAAGTAAATGTGATACATATACACACTGGAATACCATTCAGCAGTCAAACGGAACACAATTCTGTCTTTCACAACAGAATGAATGCAAATAGCAGCCATTATGACTGGTGAGATAACCAGCATCCTCCAACCACCACCAAAAAAGCAAAAAATTACAATGCTTTCTTTGATTCAAGGCAACTAATATATAGAGTACAAAAATATAACACAGGTGAGTAAAATTCATGTCTTGAGGTTTAATTGCTGTTTACAGCCCTAGTGTGTGATCCTGAGGCACCATGGTGCTTCTAGTTATTACTGGATGAATTATTTATATGATGGAGAATTAAGCTTATGTTTGTAAATTGAAAGTATGTGAACACATAAAGTAAAAGAACAATCAGAAGGGAAGAATGAGAGCATGGGGAAAAGGGCAATGGCTATCACTATGTAAACTGTATATATAAAATATGATATCTGCTCTTTTTATATAAATAAATATTTTTTAAAATGTGTGGCCTATGTTTGTAAGAATACATCAGTTCCAATCTTTTTGCCAAACTTAATATTTAACAATATGCATTCCATACAAACAATAATCCAGAGTTGGAATTTGGCCTGGTGATTAAGGCACCTAAATTTCCTACTAGGTACATATACTTGTTGGGTCTCTGGTTCAAGCTTCCTGCTGATGCAGACCTAGCAGTGAAGCAGTGATGACACAAATAATGGGTCCCTGCCATTTACTTGTGAGACTCAGATTGAATCCCCTGCTCCCGGCTTCAGCCTGGTCTGGTCCTTCCCATTTTCATTGCTTGCTGAGATCAGCAGAGTTCTGTCATCTATCTGCTCATGGATAGACTATTGATAAGTCTATATTTTTCTATCCATCATTGTCTAGCTATATAGCTACCCACCTGCCTGTCTATTCTCTCTCCCTCTCCACCCCCTGCCTCTCTCTGTGTGCCTCAAACACATAAAAATAAAATTGCAGACAAATGATAATGCCATCTAAGGGTTATTGTGATAATTAAAGGGCCATAAACCCTAAGCTGAATTCCTGAGTCACTGTTCCCATTATTGGGGATGGAAATATGGACCAGTTCCTCTTTGTGTTTCGGGGAGGGTCAAGACGTGAGGGTCCCAGTAGCTTTGGCCACGATGGTCCTGAAAGAGAACCCTTAGAGTGGTCCAAGCGAAGCAGGTTTGTGTAAACACATCATAAAATGTCGTCTGGCTTGGATAATGCAATCGCTCACTGTGTTTAAATTTAACTATTAACTTTTCCCATTACACCTTTATAATAAGAGTAAGCACTCTAACAATGTTAAAAGTAATGTTTCTGTTGCTATTTTGATGTACAAAGAAAAGATTTACAGACCTTGAAATGAGCTATTTCGTGCCACAAAGACCACAGTGTCAATCCATATCTAATTTCATAATGACAGTTTGACTTAAAGGCGGCTTCAGAAGGACGGATAATAATAAAAACTTGGATTCAGCTGCATGGCTCACAGACACAAGGGCAGAGGTCCTGGATGGAATGTTTTTGGGTTTTTACAAATACCTGGTTCCAAAAAGTTAAAGAGAGATAACACAGCAATGTATGATTTTAATGAAACAAATAAAAGCCTCTTCCATAAACATGGAGAGGTGGTACTTTGTGATAAGGCGTCCTTGTGGAAACATTACTGGAACACATCTGAATTTTCTCAACAAATGTGATCATTTAGTAGCTTTTTAAAAACATATTTGAAACATGTCCTTGAGAAAACGGTAAATGCCCTTGTGTGCTCACAAAATAAAATGTCTTCTGCCTCAGAATAACTACCTAATTTGAGAGAAGTAAATGACTTTTCATGACACAAGAATTAAAACAATGAGAACACCGTACCCGACTAGTGAGATGCAAAGTAACTTCATGCTTAATGTGTGATCAAGGAAGCAGCAGAAAGAATAAGGAGTCTACTGGGAAGCAGAATCCCTCAGGGTTTTTGCTAGCAAAAGTTCATCTCAAAACTACAAGTTTTTACTGAAAGATTTTATTGACATTACATCTTTTATTTTTTAAAAATTCACCCACTATTAAAATGAATACATTGTACAGATTTATACACAAGGCTCTATACTTAATGGGACTTCAGTTCAGCAATGGAAATGATACTGAAAGGTAAATAAATTACTAGAATGGCATTAATGAAGTGATTTTCTTTCTTATGAACAAAAACACAAGATTGCCCAATTTTTTCTTTTGTTGCAAGAAGAACCATTCTTTCTTACTACTTTACAGGAAGAAAATAATCTGTGCCACTTAATGACATTTAATACAGTTAAAAATGTGATTGTCATCAGATTTTTAAAAGCAAAGTGCAGAATACAGAAATCCATAATCATGTTTAGTAGCAAAAATAATCAAATTGTATGTTGTAATCAGTTAGAAGAAAGGGGAAAAGACAAAGTTTAGAAAGTCAGCAGTGTGGGTGGAAGAAGAAACTAAATATAGCAATACAAAAGAATGCAGTGGCATCAAAATCAAGAAACAGATGCACCCAGGCTGCATGGAGATGGGAACAGACCTCACAGTAGACCCTGAGGACTGCTTCTCTGAGTGCACAGGCAGAAATGCTGCTCATGAAAGTTGCAAATATAAAAATCATTTGCATTTAAATCCTTTTATTTATGTATTTGAAAAACTTGCAGAGAGAGATCCTATCTATGGCCATCAGTCGCCAAATGCCCAGAACGACCAAAGGAGGACTGGG